ACCCTATGACGATTCAATATATGAAGTGTTTGAATGCCCAGCATGGCACAAAAAGGTAACGGTAATTTACGAGGATTTTCAAGACGACAGACCTCTAGGGTACAAAGTGGAAAGGTAATAAAACAACTCGGAAATTCTAAATCACAATCACATCCATGAACTGGAATCCAATCACCCTGTCGAAGAAAAGATTTATAACTAACATGAAGAGTACAGCATATTTGGAAAATCAAGTTACCTTTAGTTAGGCATGCCAGAAATCTTCAGTAACAAAAACCTGTAATGTTAAAGATGCATGTTACAACAAGATACAACAACAATGAAGCACTATGCAACTTCATAACATTACCCGTTCCATTACCAAATGGGGCTATTACAACTGAAGGAAAACAAAACATACCCACCGTAAGATTGAGCTCAATGTCTACCGAAATAACCAGTCTACTTGATAATTCTATTAGAAAAGTAAAACAGAAAATAACAGAATTTTCTTGTAGTATATGTTCAAAAGAAATCATAGGATGTTGCAACTGCTGCGTGTTGCGCGAATATCCAACAAGCTGTAACTCAAGTAAACTGTAAGACACATCAATTATTGATCAGCTGTTCTCAAGAAGGCAAAGAAAACAATATTCGACTTTACTTCAATACAGCGCAAGTTAAAGAGCAGTGCGAAGTAAAATGCAGCAATCAACGCTTGTTTGATAGAAAAGGAACGCTCAACCATATAAATGGAATAAGACCATTCACTACGTGAAGGCATGGAATAATGCTTTACAGTAATGAACTCTTCGATCTCGAATTTCCTGACTTCTCACACATTCTTGACATTTACAAAAGCTACGTGCTGTTTACTGTGACCATCTTCGCCTGACATTCTTGGTAGTTATCAGCGCGATCTATCGGAGCAAGTGCTCAGCGAGTTCGAGCGGAAACAGAGCTAAAGGCAAAGCCGTACAAATCGACGACCATTAGCTACTCCGCCGTTACGAGCGGTCGCAATCCTTTTCAAGATTTTCAAATTTTCTCTTCGAACTCCATTTCTTATCTTCAAATATTTGATTCGCATGACACACTGTCTCATCAATCTATTCTAACTTGTGCAATTCTTTGTAAGGAAATTAGGTAAGTTATCAACACAATTACAGATATATCGCAACTTAACCGCGAACAAGTCGATGAGCACATGGACGATCAGCCAATGGAAAGAGAACAATTTAGACCTATTGAAGTCAACGCCCATGATCTGTTTGATGAGCCGATCCCACCCGCATCAATCGAATGGCAAGGGCTTTTGCCCTCAATGGTAAGAAGAATTAAAAATATTGAGGACAAGATATCAACAAATTTCGTGAAAATCAACAAGAAGCTGGACTGGTGCCTGAACCTTAAAAGAAAAATGAGTGAGAAGGCGGAAGGACAAATTAAAAAAACAACAACAAAATTATTAAGGACAATCAAGAAGATATGATTGGCAACGAATTAGACAAGATCAAAGGACAACTAAAATCGCTCACAAATGCTGTATAGGGAAGACGGAGGACGCGCAGGAGGAACCAAATTCCTAGCCGCCAGTGTCCGCAGGAGATAATTAGTAGAGGTGCGAGTACTGCGGGGAGATTTGGCCACGATCCAAGGAAATTTGGCTGGAATCCAGAAATATTCTAAAGGAAAAGATTCTTCGTAAATTCGCTTGAGAAAACGCTAAAGATATAAGTGAGACAATTTTGTAATCCGCGTTTTCAAGGGCATTTAGAGGAGAAAGGAAAGCGGAAAATCACTTTTT